AGATGTCAGCACTTGTATGAGGCATTAGCAGCCCTTATTCTGTTACTGAAGTTAATCGGCAAAGATTGTGGTGGTGGTGATGGTGATGGTGAGGATGATGGTGAAGATGATGATGGTGAGGATGATGAGGATGGTGAGGATGATGAGGATGGTGAGGATGATGATGATGGTGAGGATGATGATGATGGTGAGGATGATGATGATAATGATGATGAGGGTGGTGATGGTGAGGATAGTGTTTCCTTGGAGGAGATAGCAATCCTGTTGAAAATTCAGGCTTTAATGTATATTTTTGAAAAGCAATTAGAACTACTTTTGTAATAAAAAATGAAGATAAATCAAAGAAAAAACCAAAAAGTACAGGAAAGCAGGAACGGTTGCTATGAAGATTTATGTAAAATAATGTGTGTCTGCCCCTCAGTAAGGAAGTTGTGGTAGCACAGTGGTTAAGGCATTCAGCTGCTAACTGAAGGTTGGCAGTTCAAACTTACCAGCTGCTCTTCAGGAGAGAGGTGGGGGCAGTTTTGCTTCTCTAAAGACTCATAGCCTTGGAAACCCTGTGGGGTGACCTCTGTCCCACTGGGTTGCTATGAGTTGGAATTGACTCGACAGCACTGGGTTGGTTGGTTGGTTTCAGTCCCTCTGTAAGAGTCCTTGAGTGGTGCAAATGGTTAATGAGCTTTCTACTAACGCAAAGGTTGACAATTCAAGTCCACCTAGCAGTGGCTCAGAAGAAAGTCCTTGGGTTCGACTTCATGTGGGTCTCCTTGACTCAGAGTTGACTCAATGACACCCGGGTTGGTTTTAGTTTTGGTTCCTTAATTGGGCTTTTCGTTGGGCAATTATCAAACTTGTTTCTATGAGGCTAACAAAACTCAGAGTAATTCTGCAGGCTGAGCACAGAGGGCATTTTGGGGGCTCATGGGGTTTCTCTCTTCACAGGATATACTGGTGTATACAGATGGGAAGTGACCACAGTCTCCCCATTGTTGCCAACAACACCTGGTAAGTCCACAGGAGAGAACTCACATGACTGATGGGGTAGAAGAATATTTCTGTCTCAGCAAACTCGCCTGTCCAGGACCGAGCTGCAGCTGGACACTTGCTGGGAGCCACTTAGTGTCAGGGCAGGAGGCACCAGCCACGTGTTCTGGTTCTCACTGCCGTGAATTTGCTATGGGTCATATAACCTCTCTGACATTCATATTGCTCAACTGTAAATACAGGTAACAGTGGTTGCTATCTTACAGGGATGTTGTGAGGCTTCAATTACAAAACAACAGTAACAGCAAAACACTTTGCAAAGCATCTGATATGTGTGTGCTAATGGTACTGGGAGTGGGGATGGAATTTACCCAAACTACACCTCAGATGAGGCAAAACCAGGTGGCTTCCTTATCTTCTGTATATACTCTCATCTTCCACATAAGCCCCCAATAGAGAGAGAAAGAAAAGCAATCAGTTACTAATGTTCCCCTGACAGGAGCTCTGGTGGTACAGTGCGTAAGGCATTTGACTGCTAGCCAGAAGGTTGGTGGGTCAAACCCACCAGCTGCTCCATGGAAGGAAGACTGGGGCAATCTACTTCCATAAAGATTTATTGCCTTGGAAACCCAATGGGGGTCACCAGGAGTCAGGATCTACTTGATGGCAGTGGGTTTCATTTTTGTTTTTCTTTTCTTTTTGGAATGTTGCCCTGAAAAAGCCCTGGTGGTGTAGTAGTTAAGCACTCAACTGCTAACCAAAAGGTTGGTGGTTCAAACCCACTAGACCCTCCTCGGGAGAAAGATGAGGCAGTCTGCTTCCATAAAGGTGACATTCTAGGAGACCCTGTGGGGCAGTTCTACTCTGTCCTCTAGGGGCGCTGTGAGTTGGAATGGACTCCACTGCAGTGGGTTTAGTTTGGGCTTTGCTTCCATAGAAACGACAGCCTTGGAGACCCTGTGGTGCATTCTGCTTTGTCTTCTAGGGGCGCTGTGAATTGGAACCAACTGGGTGGCAATGGGTTCAACACATAGTGATGTCCCAGTCTCCTGGTTTAAAACAGTCTTTCGGGCAGCTCAGTCTACACTGTGTGAAGCGTTCAGTTAGTTGTTCACATTTTCCCACTCTCCCTTGCTCCTCTCAGGATGGCATAGGGGCAGTATATGGGATCCTGTAGCTCTGATAGGATGTCTTATAGGGCCTCTCTCTCACTGGTGGTGTCTGTCTCACCTGGCTTGTCCAGAAATCCTCTGGGAACCTCTAACTTCCAGGGGTCCAGGCAGAAACTCCTGGTTAACTGAACACCACTGTCAGGCTGCCCCAACTTATTATTATATTAAACTTTAAACTTATCCCAACTTATTTTTGTATTAAACTTTAAACTTGTTAAACCGAACACCAAACTCACTGCCGTCAAGTCGAACCGACTCATAGCGACCCCTCCTTGGGTTTCCGAGGCAGTGTCACAACAGAAGTAGATTGCCC